AAGTAGACAGATGCAACTCTCTTGTTGTCTTTAGGTAACTTTGACTTGATTTAAAAATGTACAATGTCATGTTTTCGAGCATAACCCCCCCACAATGGTAGACTTAAAGTGACGCCCTCGCTGACCTGTTCCCGGTCTGTCCGGCACCAGCTCCGCGGGGCCGATCTGGCGCATCATGTAAGCCGTCTTCACCTCATGACAGCTGTCTGCGCCGGCGGACCTGCAGCCAGCCTCCGGCAGGAAGAGCGAGCACAGGGCGGTTAGCCACAGCAGGCGCGCGTTTGGTGAGGCTGCGCGGAGCATCGCAACATTTCAGTCGGACGAAGGAGAGTCGGGAGGGTTCGGAGGAATTCCCAGAGGTCCCAACCGAGCAGTGAGTCCTCTGCGGTGAGGTGTCCGCCAGGGTCTGCGCTCTCCTCCTCCTCCTCCTCCTCCTCCCATTTACTTCCACGCTGCCTAATTAACATGTGAACTGCTTCGAAAAGTAGTTTTAATCGAGAAGACCTTATTTAAACAAAGCTGGGCAGTGAGCGGATGCCTGAGGAAAGAAGGTGATTATTTTACACTACTTTACAAAAACATCCCATTTCACTAATTTATCCTCTGAGCTCAAACACTGAAGCGCAGTCTAAGGAAGTGAAGCACGGTTGACACCTGCTGGAAGTAGTAAGATTTTACATTTTGTAAAAAAAAATGTTTTTGTTTTAACTATGCTACTTTTTCTATATCTTTTACCGTCTGAGGATACTTTCAGAAGAACTGCTGCTGTTTTTAACGATTTTTGACCGAGGTAAATTCACAAACAGCTACTTCCGGGTTGTTTTATTTTATTTTATTTGAGAAATTACAACTTTTTAGCTGCTAAGGCTGGTTTACACAAGCGAAAACTATGATTTTTCGTTTTTAAAATGTAAAGCATATTACTTCTGAAGTGTATTGCGACATACTGTGTCTAAGTGGACATGGATTAAAAAAAAAAAAAAAAAAGAAAAGTACGAGCCAGCCAGGAGTCGAACCTAGAATCTTCTGATCCGTAGTCAGACGCGTTATCCATTGCGCCACTGGCCCGGACAAGATCGGGTTTTTCCGTTTTCACCTTCGGAAAATAGACGGAACGATGTGTTTTATTGTGTTTAGAAATGATATTTTATGTGCTGAATAGTTTTATTTTCCTCAACAAGCTTCAATTAAAAAAGGTCGGTTGTAAGGAAGTAGAACATTAGGGTCGCCCCCCTGCTGGGCTCAACCTATAAGTTTAACACTAATCATATAAAGCGTGTCTTACTCATATTCTACGCCTGTTTAATTATAAAAATACTTTAAAATATGTAAAATGTTTAAAATTAGCAGTTCGCGTGCATTAGAGAAAAATAAAACTGAACGCCACGTGCAAGGCTCGAATCACGAGAAATACTCATAAATACGTATTCGGTTAAATAATCTATTGTCATGTATGTCTGCCTTAGTTATGTTTTATTTGTCAAAAATACTAGCTTATGTCTTACCGCCACCATGGGCTGAAAAAAGCAGTAGCCAGGTAATTACCGCACACATAGTCAAATATATTCTACTGTCATTAATAGGTAAATAATATTTAAGTGTTTATATTTAATAAACAAAAATGAAAAACTTGTGCGCCGTGTGAGGCTCGAACTCACGACCTTCAAATCATGAGACTCAATCTAGGAAAATCTTGGTTAAATCCTGGACAGGACATCCAATCAAATCCCTCATTTGTCCAACATATTCGATGCCTCGAGCCAATCAGCGCACTGTATTTCACTGCCGTGTCTTAGAACTGACCAATCACGTTGGGGATTGGGATATCTCATTATTTATCACATCATAACTATTTTAACAATTTATTTTGCCAGTTGTATTAAATACTGACTGAAAAAAAGTGTATTTCTCATACATGAAACATAAAAGAAATTTAATAGGTTGCTGAATGAGGAAAATAGAATAAAATATG